ATTCATTAATATTTATTCATTTATTTTACAACAAGTTGAATCCAGCTAATCTTATGCAGTGTTCCCAAACCTTTCTGAGCCATTGCCCATCTTTTCCATTGATAAAAATTACATACCACACCAGCATCTGAAAACTGAAACAAAAATCTCTGGCCAGTATTAACAATGCAAAGTCATTCTCATCAAAGTTTACTGAAAAGTCAAATAAAAAAGCACAAATAAAACCATATTTTTTTCACCAGGTTTCTTTTGACCAATTATCTGATACTGGATCGTTTGCTTGGCTGGATCAAAGCCTCACCAAACAATATCTCAAGGCACACGAACATGCCACAGCACACTAGTTGAAAAACATGGCTCTTGTGCGTGTCCTTGTAGCTCCTCCCACATAATCTTATTATGCAGATTAAACATTGGCACGGTGGTTGGCGCTTGTGCTCAACAGTGAGAAGGTCCTGGGTTCAATTTCACATCCAGCCCTTTTAGTTTGAGGTTTGCATGTTTTTCCCGTGTCTGCGTAGGTTTACCCCGGGTGCTCCAATTTCCCCTACCACTCTAATGTGTAAGTGCATGTGTAACCCCTGTGGCATAAAATAGTAACTAAGAAATGTTTTTATTAAAATGCAAGATATTGTCATAACAAAGTAAGTAATGCATAATGGATGTGCATTATAAATGTAATAGGCTAGAAATCTGAAGTCTTGGACTCAGCTCAAGGAGGGATTGGCAGGAGACTGAAAGATTTGGATTTGTACCACGTATTAAGAAAATAATAAATTGATATACAAACTTATCAAGATCAACCACTTGATCATTGAATGGAATTCATCTTTCGACTCAAAAATCACTACTCATGCACAATTTATAGCATAAAGTTCACATATCATTCACATACGATCGAAAGTAAACACCCATGGATTACACAATGTCGAAAAAACCAACGTAGATTAAATAAAAATTGACCTGACGATATAACATCAATTCATCCTCTGCATTTGACCCATCCTGATGCCACTAAGGCTTACATCAGGAGCAGGGGCCGCAGCAGCGCCCGGGAACCCATCTCCAGATGTTGATGCTCGGCTTGGTCGAAAAATACCAGAGCTGGAGGATTTTACCTAATGTGCATTTTTTTAGTGGTAGGGGAAACCGGAGCACCTGGAGGAAACCTACGCAGGCACGGGGAGAACATGCAAACTCAACTCAGAAAGGCCCTGTTGGTATGGTATGGTATGGTTTTTATTTTTACAGGGACAGTTTACAATAAACATTTACCAGGTTGCAGCAGCAGTGTTAATTTACACCTGTTCCGACCGGGATTCGAACCCAGGACCTTCTGGGTTCGAAAAGGGGCAGGATTTGTCTTCTGGGTTACACATGGATGGCGATGGTCAGGGGTTTTCTATGCAACAGTGCGTTTGGCGTCTCCCTTCTGTCATCACTGTATGTAAAGGGAACGGGAATTACCAGCACACCAAACATTCTAAAGCGTTTTGTGTGACCTTGCTCTGTGAAGTACACAATACAAAAGAAAAACGACTTACTTCCATTAATCTGATACTGGAGAAATACCAAAGCCACATCCAACAGCGTCTCAAGGATCACGAACATGCCACGGCGCACTGATTGAAAAGCATTGCTCTCACGCATGTCCTTGTAGCTCGTCCCACATAATCTTATAACACAAGTGCGTTTCTTTGTGTTTCATAATGTAATTGGACACACGCTTTGTTTTGAGAGTGTTTTTCATTGATATTCTTGGGCAAACCTCAGAATAACGTGTTTCAAAGTGACTGACGGTGGCTGCGTTTTCGGTCGTTGTTATAAAGATGAGCCCACAGGGTTTCATATTCCACTCCACTTTCGGTCACCCGAGATTCACAAAAAAACCTACTCATGTGCCATCTACATGTCCGCTCTCACACAGGCAATTATCTGTAATTGCTGTGGCCCTTCAAACCAAAATCTGAATGCATTGTTCTTTGATATCGTATTCTGACTACTAATGTGATGAGGCGCCCGCCCGCTGCCTGCCCGTCGAGCAAATAATAAAGAAATCACCGGGATACTTTCCGATGGGTAGGGGAATTAATTTCATTTTATTGTATAGAGTCACATTCAGGAATACGGCGGTACACAGCTGTCAGACCTTTTCAGAGAACAATCAAATGGCCTATGATAATGGACAACCTTGCCAAGCGTTTAATTAACTTAAATGTCAATACCAACCGACGGAGATCAAATAAAAATTGATTTGACGATTTCGCATAATTTTTTTAAATCGTTTTGGCCAGATACCATCCCCGTGCCACACCGTATAAGTCTATTGACCTTCTGCGATAGCAAGACAACACTGATATGGTTGATTATCTACAGTGGATTTTGTTGCCTGTGAACTTTGAGATGTTTTGCTAATAGCCGCCGTGATCAATAGGAGCATCAAATGGTGGAAAGTGGTTAAGTTTCTGTTTTTGGCGAATTTTGTTGAAGAAAAGTAAAAAGAGACAGTTCAAGCGAAATATCAAATTGAAGCGGTTTCATTGATCTCTTTATGTGAAGCTATCAAAGCAGATAACAGTGATTTTTACTTTTTGTATTTCTCCAATGAAGCCATGGTTTCTGAGGGGATTGCATCAAATACTAACAATAATGGCTGAAGATACAAAGTAGTAAAGAAGTTTAAACTCTAAGGGATACTTTGAAAGAAATATAATAACATCCCGAGTGAGTCCAAGCCCATCGGTGCATGAATGGTAAGCGTTTCTTTAAAAAACTGGATAAATGCATGCCTTAAATAAACATATTTGTGTGGGAGGCGATGTTAAGAGTAAGGTCCTTCATTTGTCCTCAATGCCACTATAGACCTGTCAGGAGTGGTGGTGTGCCTGATAGTGGAGGCTTTGTCACGAAACTTAGCTGTTTTGGTTGGGGGGAAACCGGAGCACCCGGAGGAAACCCACCCAGACACAGATAAATTCTTGCATGTCGTTTTTTCTTTCACTGGTTTAACGTTAACTACAAATTCATGAACATCAAACGAGTATTGAGTATGTCGATTTAACTCATAAAGGATAAACAATGGGGTCATAATGTCCAATCTGAAAACATGAAGTTCAGGGGAAATCCTATAAGATGGAATATTTAATTTAAAATATTAACTTTTAATCTTCATGAGTCAGTCCTGGGTCTATAACCTTGTCCATTGGAGTGGATCCCTCCCGAGTCTGTTTTTTTTTCTTGGAGTTTTTTCAACACTTTTTTGTATAGTCCCCTTAACATTTGATCCTGCGCACACATTTCAGCTTTCATTAATAAAAGGCAGCTATCGTATTACAAATGTTATCAAATTGTTTTAGCATAATTTAACAACAATAATGAAATCAAACGTGAGTAAACAGAGAAGCAGAGCTCGAATTTCCAACGTGTGTGATTTCAAAACTTGAATATCTGAAGCAAGGCTTTAAACAAGCAGTGAATATACATGTTTTCTATATGGATCTACAGCTGCCACATTTTAAGTTTAGATTCCAGGCCGAGCACACATGAGACTGCAGCCCAGATTAATAGACAAGCAAATGTAAAGTAAAGGCTTTTTTTCCCCCACTAGGCCACGAGTTAAAAAGACAAGTCGACCCCGAACAACATGTGGCAGAGGTTGTCGTGATTTCTGGACCTGCGTCGCACCATCACCAATGGGTTTTTGAGTTTTACCTCCCTGATGTTAGAAGGTCTGGACAGAGGAAGTTCTGGGACATTTATGAACATTTATAGACATTGGAGAAATGGAGCTTAAGCGGAGGTTCAGTATGGTAGACTACCTACGTTATCACGCCAGGCTTGACCACGCCTTACTCAGCCTGTCTTAATCAACTCCCCGCAGCCGTGTCAATCAAGCCAGCGTTTAAGAGCAAAGCAGAGCACAGCTCACCAAACGGACTTCAAGCTGCAATGGGTTGCTCTTCGTCACTTTGTTTACTCACGCTTCGCACATTGTTCGTCCTGCATGGTCGCGGCTCCTCTTCAACATCACATGTTTGGGGCTGCGCGCCATGGTCGCTGTGTCTCCACCGCGGGTCCTCTCCTTCGGACTCGCTGCCGCTCGTCTCCCCGTGGCCGCTGCGCTCGCGGCCAGGCTCCGCGCACCCTGCCGCTTCCATACCGGGAACGGGACTTCTGTCTGCCTGCCGTTGTCTGCTGCCTCTGTCCACCCGTCTCCCTGCCTCCACTCACGGTACAGTGTCCGTTTCGTTGTTTTCCCCACTACCATGAACTGCACTGAACTGCGGCGTGTCAGTTAATCCCGCCAAATTGGCTCGCAGGCTGTGTTTTTACCCGATGCATTGTCTGCAGGCTGTTCGTTTTACCATCTGCGTTGGCATTTAGACCGTCCGTTTTCACCATGGACCGCACATTTTAACCACTGTATTGGCCTTCTGGCTGTCCGTTTTACTCATGGGATGAACATTCTACACAATGCAGTGACCTCCAGGCTGTCCGTTTGACTATGGTCTGAACATTTACCCACTGCATTGACCTTCAGGCTGTCAGTTGTAACCATGGACTATAACATTTGTCGTCTGCTTGGCCTTTGCGCTGTCTATTTGACCGTGGACTGTAAGTTTTGCTCACTGCATTGCCTCCCGGCTGTCCGTGTCTGATGAGCTGCTCTGATTGGTCGGAGCGCGGCCGAGCCCCTCTGTACTGTTCGACAACCAGCACTTTTAACCAGTGCGTTGGCCTTCAGGCATGCTTCAACGGCCTCACTTCAACGCTTCATCGCAGCACACGTCGGCGGCCGCACACTTCAACGCCCACACGCTTCGCCGACGCCACTTCGGTGGCCGCACGCTTCGGTGACGCCACTTCGGTGGCCGCACGCTTCGGTGACGCCACTTCGGTGGCCGCACGCTTCGATGACGCCACTTTGGTGGCCGCACGCTTCAACGACGCTTCGACGACTCCACGCTTCGACTCCTCCTCCACGCTTCGACTCCTCCTCCATGCTTCGACTCCTCCTCCACGCTTCGACTCCTCCTCCACGCATCGACTCCGGCGCACTCATCGACTCCGGCGCACGCATCGACTCCGGCGCACGCATCGACTCCGGCGCACGCATCGACTCCGGCGCACGCATCGACTCCGGCGCACGCATCGACTCCGGCGCACGCATCGACTCCGGCGCACGCATCGACTCCGGCGCACGCTTCGACTCCGGCGCACGCATCGACTCCGGCGCACGCATCGACTCCGGCGCACGCATCGACTCCGGCGCACGCATCGACTCCGGCGCACGCTTCAACGCTTTGACGCAGCACGCTTCATCGCCGTACCTCGGTCGGCGCACACGCTTCCACGTCGGTGTCCGCCTCCTGCCGCATTCTCGACCTCATGCTTCGACGCATTCGTGTGCTCTCATCCATTCATCGTGGAACCAGTGTCGACCATGGACTCGCGTTCCCTATTGGTGGGTGAACAATCCAATGCTAGGAGAGTTCTGCTTCACAATGACGGGAAGAGCCGGCATCGAAGGATCAGGTCAGTGGTCTGACTGAAGACGCGGTCTGACTGAAGACGCGGTCTGACTGAAGACGCGGTCTGACACTGCCCGTTGGTCCTTTTCACTCGAGTGATAGTGGTTCGAGGTTTCTCTTTTCAGCTTCGCAGGAACGCGATGCCGCAACGCCGCACCAAAGCTCTGCTACAACGCCGCGACGGTGGCCTGCTGCAACGCTGGCCTGCTAAGACTGCATGAGTACTGTCGGCGTGGCCTTCAAACCTGGCCGGCTATCTTCCCCAGGCCGCACTCATTGGCTTTTGGTGTGCAGCACTGCCCGCCACGGTTTGCGTGCACTCTGAGTGGCTGTAGGCGGTGCTCCTTCTCATGTTCCCCAGGCATATTCTCTCCTGGTCTCCTGGTGCGGCTCCTGCCGCCGGGCCTGTCTCACGCTTCGCCTTACCTGACGCACCCTGGCCCTCATTCTGACCGGGCCCTCGTGCGTTGGTTTTTGGGGGTCCAGAGATCTCCTATCGAACATCAATCTTCCTGGGTAAGTGTACTTCATGAATCTCATTTTCACCTTCTAGTCTCCCCAAGTGGAATCATGTTCGAATATCAGCGCTCTAAACACCAGCAGTTCATCCTTCATTCAGCATTCTCCTTTCCCTCTCACTGCACACTCTCAGTCTCTGGACATCAGCATCGTGGGTACTGCTGTCACTGCCTCATCTACATCGGCATTAAATACATTCTCTAAAATCCACTTCGAGTCACACTGCTCCACCCTCATAAGAAGATCCTTAAAGGAGTATTGGCATGGTCCTTGTTCTGTAGTTTAGGTCCTGGACGACTAGCCTGTCTGTCCGTGGAGTGGATTCCCTCTCTCTATGTAGGGTCTTCCGAAGGTTTCTCACTTTTTTCCCCACGGGGTTTTGTGAGTTTTCCTTGCCATGCAGGAGGGTCTGGACAGTAGTGTCCAACTAGAAGGCCCGTGGTGATGATCCAGGATACTTTAACATTCTACAACATCTATGGACATTTTATCAACATTTATAGACTATAATTACTCCTTAAACAATCCCTCGACGACCCCCTGGTCTGAACGAATTCAAAACCTCTGCTCCCTGCATGTAACCTCTCTTCCTTTCTCTACACCCGCCACTCCTTCCGGATAGGAGCAGCCACTTGGACTGCTGCCCTGGGACTCCCTCAATCATCTCTCCAGGAGCTCGGTCCCCGGTTCTCTACCACATTCATCCGTTCTGGCAGCCCAGCGCCTCCTCTCATATAAGTACGTATGCATCTCCTGGTGGTGGCAACTCCTCATTTCCAGCATGCCGCGCACTCGAGTCGAGCTCGTGCGCGTACCAACGCCTAGCGCTAGAGCCGAGCTCGCGCACGGACATTACGCCGCGCACTTGAGCCGAGCTCGTGCGCGTGCCAACGCCTAGCGCTAGAGCCGAGCTCGCGCCCGGGCATTACGCCGCGCACTTGAGCCGAGCTCGTGCGCGTGCCAACGCCTAGCGCCAGAGCCGAGCTCGCGCACGGAAACATTCACTCACACCATGCGCCTTCCATAAACGCAGCAACCAAGTCATGGCAAACGCATCGCTAGCCAAGCTCTCTTTTTGGGGATCATGATCTGCACCCAGGCGCAGATCTCTCCAGAGCACGGCCACAGCCGGGGCCTAAGCTCCAAACCAATAAACAAACTCAATCCATAAAATAAACAACTCTTAAACGCATCTCGTCTCTTGTAGTCTCTCCAGGTTGAAACCTGTTATCCTATGAACCAAGCACTGTTTGGTGTATTATTTTTGTTTTTCTTATATGACTTTCTAATACGCTCTTATGGTATGGTTTCTGATTTTTTTCAGGGACAGCACACAAAAAGCCTAAGCCAAAAAGAGAAATGCTTTTCACCAGGTTATAGCAGCAGAGCTAATTCACACCTGAAGTCTCTGAGCGGGTTGAATTTCTCTGTGAGGCCCTTCGAGGCGACTGCCGTTGTAAATATTGGGCGATGCAAAAAAAAACAAAAAAACATTGAGTTGATTTGATTGGCCTAAATCCATCACAGCTAAAGCCTGGTTCACACGAGACGATTTTACAATTGTCGGCTGTTTTTTCTCCGTGTTAGACCCCACACGGGGAGATTAAAAATCCTGCGTCTAACCACTTTGGTCGTGCAGTGTGTGGTGCGTAGCCACACGGCAAGATCACGCAAGCCACAAACATCACACGAGCATTCCCAGGTCAGACGGAAATCTCACAAAATCTCTCGAGATCAAGCGTGACTTCAGAGTAAACAGTCATGGCGGACGAAGAGGATGCAGTGGCGATAGTGTGCAGTTTGTTGTTAACAGAGAAGAGACGTAATCCAAAGAAAAGGCAATGGTCAAAGCCATGCTGCTGTGTTTTGGTTTTTTCCGGTGTTTCCTCACCGGCTTGTCACCTCATCTTCTTATTGGCTACACGCCGTAGTCATGGCAACGCGCTCGCTTGTCCTCGGAGGACACCACACACGACAAGAAATCGGGCCAAAACAATCCAACATGTTGGATATCCCCGATTTGAGATTGGGAGCAGTCCCGATGTCCTTCCGAGCGACGAGTGCAGTCTTAACACACCACACACGGCAGGATAATCTGTAAGATTTTGTTACGGAAATCGGAGCGTTTCTTAAGATTGTCGTAAGGGGTAAATCGGGTCTAAATCGGCCTAAATATCCTGCCGTGTGAACCAGGCTTAATAGAAAACCGTCTTGTGAAGAGGAAGGAAAGAAACTTGTAAACAGATTTCTTGATGAGATGGCAAAAAGCAACCAGTGAGAAAGCGAGATGAGATGATACTACTGAAGCTTTGAAGTAACTATCTGAATGTATTGGTTTGACTGGTCTTTTGTGCAAAGTAGATCTTCATGTATTCAATGAGTGTCATGTGAACTGGTCTTGGCAGCTGTATGTCTGCTTGTGAAGTCCCCTGAGCTGGCTGCAACCGGTTTCAAAACCCATTAATGGTGCAGTAATAAAGTACTTATTCAAGAAGACAGGGCAAGGATAATCTATGACACCTCTGGATCTATCCATTCATCCATCCATCTCAATATTAATGTTTAATGATGTCATAAAGGAGAAGCGGCTGTGCACTTCTGTATTGAGTGAAGTTGCACAAAAACCGGCTGCAATGACAAAAAAAAAAAAGCAATCGTCTCAGCTGCAAGGGCTACAGTGAACTGGAAAGTAAATGTAAAGGCACCAGAAGCAGAGCATGAAAAGCGTCCGTATGGGAGCAGCTGCTGTTTCTCATTCCCCCACAGACTCTCTCTTCTCTGGGCTCTGCAGACTTGGACGATGGACTTGAGGATTTCACCAGCACGCACTTGGCATTTGCAGCTTGTGGGACAGGTGCACTTTAGAATATCACTGGAATTGATAAAAGGTAGATGTACAGCTGAAAGTTTCATCCAAGTTTTTCACAGCCGCTGATAGTTAATGCGATAACTTTCCGAGCTAAAGCAGGTGGAGCAATACATTATGTGACATGAGTGTTGAGTAAGTAGAAGGACATTAATTTGAGCTTTTATGAATGTTTTTAAAAGTCTGTCCAATTGCTTGAATAATAAAACCTGTACTAACCATGTACTAACTGATTAGAAGCAGTAACATTTGCATGGTGATATAACCTTTGAAATTGATTACCACCTCACACCCCAAACGAGTTAATATAATTTTTTTTTTTTAATTATTTTATTTGCATTTTTTTAAGGCTCGATAACCAATGACGTCAAACTTTACTTGCCCCATTTATTCTATATTACGCTTAGGGCTACCTGACTTTACTAAGTTGTCAATTTGTCCAACACAGATCAGAGTCAAACAGTTAAAACACAGGTAATGAAATGATGAAAAAAAAACACATAGAGAATGGATTTATGTATCCATAAGGGGCAGATGACCAATGTCCATAAATCTGCGAGTATACATAACGTAAATTAAGAAAAGAAAATGATCATAAATATATATGTGATATGTGTAAAAAGCAGGTTCTTCGGACCTGGATTTAAAAAGGACCACTGGATTAAAAGCGAATTTAAAGCAATTTATTATAAAATACATTAAAAGCAATAAAAACCTAAGCTAAAAAAAGGACTAAAAAGCTAAAACAGAGGCTAAAACGCAGGCTAAAACACGTTCCCACGGCCTGGGCCGCCAGACCACGGGGCTTTCTCTCTCTGCTCTGTCTATCTGTGTCCCTTCCCCTCCCCATCTCAGTCTTTTATCCTCAAGGCGCAGGTGTCTTGTTTGCTCACGTGGGGAGCCGGGGTGCTTCGGGTGGTGCAAGTCAGTAAATAAAAACACAGCATGCATAAAAAGTATAAAAACACACAGCAAACGTTAAAAGACCCACCACCCTTTTGCACCCTCTGACATATACAGTACATACTGTGCCGTCACACAGTAAAGCGGGTCCGTCTTTAGCTACGTACACAGATTGAGTTCCCCTGTTGGCTGGCTTTCATGCCGCATGCACCACACACACACGCCATTCCACACTCGCGCACCCTTTTTTCTCCCCTGTTCCATTCACTACATTCATACACCTACCGGTCTGTCGCGCCCCTCTGCATCTGTGCGTGAGGATCGAACCTGGACCATACTTCCTGGTGGGTTAAATGCGCCCTGGGAGTGCGGGGAATTGTGCTCATGTGATGTGCATAATTAAATGTACTTGTAATGGCCTAATGTTTCATTGTAGAGTATAGTTTTCTGTGTTATACCAACAAGGAATGGGTCCATATATGTTTTCTCTGTTTATACGTCCCGTTTCTTATAAGTTATTTTGCTCAATGGGAGGGGCAAGGGGACTATAAAGAAGAGCCGTGTTGGGCACACCGTCAGTCTGCTGCTGGTTACAGAGGAGGTAACTACCTGGACTTCTTAAAGGTGACCTACATTTGAAGCTGTTTTTTTTTTCTGCTTTCTTCACTGTACATACGCTCTGCACTGCCTGCACCATTTTTTTGCACTTTGGGAGAATAAAAACAGAAATAAATCACGGCAATCCGAGCTTATTTTTTTTTAAAGTAACCCACGACACATACATTCCAATATTAAGAACACAAATTATTCCCTAATTACAACCCTAAATGTCCTTTGTATGTAAAAAAAACTTAGCCTGAGTTAGTATTGCCGGGAGATTTTTGAATAGTCCAATAGTCTCAGGCAGAGGTGGGACAAAGTCATTGTTTAGCA